TTCTCACTGGGCATCTCAAGCTTTATGGTGGTTGCTTACTCATGGTGGACTTGAGCACAGTCCACTGGTCTGTGGTGGAGGTGATGGCCACACATGTTGGCTTTTTCCACGTATGTTTGTCTCAACACTTTTCTCTAGATGTGGTTGCTTCATCTAAGCATACATATAATGTAAATATTGAGTCTGTAATTAGTTATGTTTCCAAGGGGGACGCGCCCAATATATGGTATGTCTTTACAAGTCCAGTCCTGGGTGGCCCAAAGACCTGACCATTACAGCTAGGCCATTAGTGACAGCCCATGAGCTTATATACAGATATCGTTCATTAAATCCTGGGGGGGGGTGCACTCTGGCTAGAAGTCCTACCTTAAGTTCAGCTCATCACAAGGGGCATCCATTGTTGTGGGCCATCGGCCGTTTGCTCTCACTGAGAGGCTCTAGCATCATAGAGGACCTGCTCACCTTGGAGGTCGGTGGGCTCCTTTGTCACTGATTCTTGTCAGCTGGCCTTCATGAAACCAGCAGCCCAGTAGGGAAGACGCCTGTTTGTAAAGTTGGTTAAAGGCTTAGGGGCTGGCCTTCATTGGAAGATCCATGACATTTTCATGATAGAACTTTCCCACCTATGGAATTTAGTTCAGAATTGCAGGATGTCAAGTTGGAGGCTGTTTTGATTAGAGCTCAGTCATTCTCACAGGCACTTCTCAGCGGTAGGAGAAAGTTCTCAAGTTCAAAAGCTCAGAGTCCCAGGAGAACTGGAGGAGTGGGCATTACCAAAGGCCCCCTTCAGCTGTGCGGCTGGTCACAGACACCTGTACTTCCTCTAGGTCTGAAGGAGACAGAGGTGCTAGGGTAAGGCGTCTTTCATTGTTGCCCAAACGGCTTCCAAGATTGTTGCTTATTTGGGGCCCTCATTCAAAGGTGGCCACATGTCTGACGACTTGGGGTGGAGGCTGTGGGAATATTTCCAGGTTGGGGATGTACTACTGTCTCCAACAGCCAATATGCAGAGTGGCCAGTTTGGGGGTGGGGCCCCTTTTTTGGTAAGCAGTGGCTACGACAAAGTTTGTCCTTAATTGATTGTGAAATGTCTCTTTGGCTGTGACGCAGCTCCCAAGATGGTTAGTTGGAAGGCAGGTCACTTGGATTTGGTCCTCATTGAGAGGCCCATCTGTCTCTCATCAGCTGTGCTTGGGTGATGCAGCAAAGTAGTTTTCTCTGTGGGGTCATTACAATGCCTGCATACCCACCAACAGTTCACATGATACCAGGTGTGTCCAAACCACTGATGCTCTCTCACTGGAGAATTCAGGGCAATAAGTGTGCTGCTGTGTGCTGTGCTAGGTGAAGGCAAACTGATTCCATCTGTCCCTCACCCCCAACACCCCCATTTAAAAAATAAAGTGTTAGCAGTACCCCAGGCTGCAAACTAAGGGCCAGGTATGATGGCAGCAGCACCTCCATCCACCTTGGAGACGTCGGGCACTGTGGAAATGAAATTGGCCACCTTCTTATTTAAGCGCCCAGAGTCCACAGTAAAACTCCCAGCTTCCATCGGCCAGACAGCAGGGTGCAACTTCTAAGGAAGCTTGGAAGCTACGCGAAGCACCCCTGGCCATCCGAAACCTTGGGTGAAAAGACCTTGTACCTTTTCTTCTCCCAGGAAAAGGCACTGTTTCAAATGCTCGGCGAGCTTGATGGGGAAACCCTGTCCTCGGCTCTGCCTCTGACCCCCTTACATGAGCCACCAACAGTGGATGCAATGAACGGATCCCGTGAGCAGGTTCTTACAGAAGAGCAGCAAGCACAGTCCAGACCCAAACCAACCAACCAAGACCCCACGAAACTACAGGCAGTATCTATAATAGAGTTTAGGAATAGTAGGGCTTCCCCTTGGGTGGGGATGAATCCCGCCACCCGATCCTGTACCTGAGTCTTGTCCCTGCTTGTCTCGTGGCTGTAGTTTATCCGGCCTGAGATAGTTTATCCGCTGAGTAGTTCTTTGCTGCACAGGAGCCGTGGGCCCGCTCCAGGTTTCTGCCTCTGCTGGTCCGCTCCGCCCGCCCCTTTAAGGCTGTCAATCACCTGACTTGGCTTTTAGTCGTAAAATAGATGCATCTGTGCAGGAGTTTTCCTGGGCTGCCTTCTTCCCGGCATTCAGTGGCCTCATTACCCAGGATTTTTATTTGGTAGGTGACTCACCTCTTGTTCAAACGACTCGATCATCTGAGAATCTTAGTGGCTTTCTGTCCACCCACTTCTTGGGGTCCCTGGCCGTTCACTGCCCCCTTGAGGCTGTGTATTTTCTTTCCTTGGATGAGTCAGATGCTCAGAGCTCTGGCCACTGGGGCCGCCAATCTCCACTACCGCCTTCTGAGGCTGCCCCTGAGTAAGGCTGTCGGTGCAGCTGCCGCATATTGTCGGCTTGTAACCACAGATCCAGATGAACCATCTACGTGGGCAGTGAAGCCGGGAAGGAGAGAGAACCAACCAGTAGGAGGATGCGCTGCCGAGTGGACCACCCTGTGTGATCATTTGCATGGTCCCACGGGACTGTCCTTGGAGACACTGTATAAAACCTGCCTCAGGACAGTCTGTCCCGGGAGAGAAGGAGGACAAATGTATCCACTGACTCCTATGTCCCATTAGCCAGCATCACCCCACGGGGCAGGAACTCCTGCACCTGCGGGCTGGACACCCCTGGCGGCGACCACAGTAAAGCTCTGGTGTGACAGTCAAGAACCGTCAGTGAAGCGTGCAGCCCAGCTCCGTGGTTGCGCTGGAGTGAAACTGGTCACAGCTCTTGCAGGGCAGGCACGCAGGGGGGATTAAGAGATGGGGGGGCAAGAGGATGTCCAGTGCTTCCTAAAAGGCGGTGTCTGTTACAGCAACACTGCGTTAAGGATGACATACAGCTTGGGGTTTCATAAATGCCATACTTAGCTGCACTTCTTAGGCAATACATCAAGCGACGCTAGAATTATGTAATAAGAAAAGCAAAGGTGTGGTGGATGGTAGATTCGGAAGAGAAGAGGACCAGGGCGGGGGAATGGGAAGCGTGTAGTTACAGTTAAATGGAGGCTGCGGTCACGAACCAGAGGATTATGATTCATCTGAGCGCCTGAAGTCCAAATAAAACGTGCAAGTTGTGCTTCTGTTCCCGAACCCTGGAGTCGGACGAACTGGGCTCCCCGCGGCCACCAAAAGGCGGCGCTGCGGGCGCGGGCGGCCACCTGCGGGGCCCGGTGAGTTTCCCGTTGAAAGGCAGGCCGAGCCCCCGGGGAGCCGCGGCGGCACCGGGCAGCGCGCCTCGGGCTGGGGACCCCGCTCCCGCTCCCCGGGGAGGACCCGCCCCGGCCCAGCGGTCGGGAGGAAGCAGCTGACTTCCTGCGTCTCCCCGCGCCCCGCCCCCCGCGCCCACCCGCCCCAGCACCGCCGCCCCGGGGCGGGGTAGTAAACCTGGGGCCCGCAGGCCGCAGCCAGCCCCACGCAAGTTTTGTTTGGCCTAAAAATCCAGATTTCCACTTCGCTCAGTCACTTGGAGCATGAGGGTTTCTTTTTCCTTTTTACAGTTTTGGTCAGATCAATAGAGTGCCCATTTTCCTGGCGGCTATCACTCTTCAGAACTGAGCCCTGCGCAACGCTTCATACCATAGCATTTCCTCTTTTGCACAATTTTATATATTAATCATGGTCTTTTTTTGGGCATAATTACTTATCTATACAGAAAATTACAGTAAATCCTCAACAAGCCACCAGTGGCCTCAGTCTCCTTACAAGGTCCAGAGGCACCAGGTATTCTCACCGCGGTCTCCTGAGGAAGTTTCTCCCGGTGTCCTGCCCCCTCCAACCTGGGCCGGTCGCTGTGTCCATTTGTCTGGTGCCCCGTGGGCAGCCTAGCAGCTCCCTTCAGTGCAGGGGGTGCCTGACTTTTTTTTCTTTTTTAAAGCAGAGAAATCCCCTTTCTCAATCAAAATCCCCCATGAAATTCCACTATATAAAACAGGAAATATAGTGTTCATATAAATTACTCATTTACATTTATAACATTGACTTATTATGAAGTGAGTCTAGAAGAGTAATGGGATTAATTTGAAAAGCGTATGATTTGGAGGAAGGAGCTAACTGGGGCTGTAGCCTCATCTTCCATTCATTCCACTGCTTGGTGCTGGTGGCAGGAGTTGGAGGAAGCCTGGCTCGCCCAGGACGTCGTGGAAGGTTCTCAGCCACTCACCTCCCACTCCTGGCGTCTCCCTGGACCAGCCCAGGTGCAAGGCCAGCCTTCCCCAAGGGCTGCATGAAACCAGGAAGTCTGTGCTGGAGCACGGCCGGCCCAGGGGTTCCCACCTTTCAGTGTTTGCCACTGATAACGAAGAGTGTGCGTTTTAAGATGTTAACATTATTTTGCACATAAAATCGACATCTGTGAACTCCTCGGAGCACCTGTGAGAGTTCACAGGCTGCAGTTCAGAAACCACTACAGTGGGGAAAAGATGGGACTGAGAAGGGGCCCAAAGGTCTGCGGTGTCTCCATGGCAACAGAAGTTAGCTATCCTTGCTAAGGAAGAGGCCTGGGAGGTGGTGGCACAGGGAGTGGGACAGCTCTGGGTCACCTGAGCATCCTGGCTGGAGACCCAGGCTAAGGGCCGAGCAGGTCACCATGTCTGGAAGAGAAGCCGCCAGGCCCACTGCAGCACAAGGGCTGTGTCAGGCCAGGGCCTCCGTCAAGAACACACTTGTGGGGCTTCCCTGGCGGCGCAGTGGTTGAGAATCCGCCTGCCAATGCAGGGGACACGGGTTCGAGCCCTGGCCTGGGAAGATCCCACATGCCGTGGAACAACTGGGCCCGTGAGCCACAACTACTGAGCCTGCGTATCTGGAGCCTGTGCTCCGCAACAAGAGAGGCCACGATAGTGAGAGGCCTGCGCACCGCGATGAAGAGTGGCCCCCGCTCGCCGCAACTAGAGAAAGCCCTCGCACAGAAACAAAGACCCAACACAGCCAAAAATAAATAAATAAATTTATTTTTTAAAAAAAAAAGAACACACTTGTTTCCTTCTCTGAGCCTCCTGCAGACACCAGGGCTACCCGCCTGTGGAGGAAACCAGCTGGCACAGGCTGGCTCTGGCCCCGCCCTGCCTGCTCCCCCAGAGGACCTGGACTCAAATCCCAGCTCTAGCCCTAACCTCACTTCCCCTCGGCTGTCTCCTTGGGTCACCCTACTCCACGGCCCGACCTTCAGGATAGATGTGCTTCCTAGAGGGGCCCTCAGAGAAAGAGGCAGTACTATGGCTGCACGCCACCTCCTGCAGAGAGAAGCACAGCTAAGCTGTTTTCCAGAGCCTCTCTGAGCAGCAGTCTTTCTTGTGGGTAGTGAGAAAACGCCTGTGCAGAGGCCTGCAGGACAAAGGGCACCAAGCCCACTGTCCAGCCCTCCTACCCAGGTCTCTGCTGGCCAGGAGCTGCCCGCTCGTGGGAGATGATGTGGGCAGACCCACTCTGGTCTCATCTCCCAGTGTCCCAAGTGCCCCAGGTGCCAACACCCTATCCCGGGCCTGCGGTGGCCACAACGAGCCAAGGCTGGCTCTTGGTCCTTGGGGCAGGTACCTGACTCCCATCCTCCCCCCATGGGTCCAGTCTTCCCTCCTCTCACACCTTGGCTTGGTCCTGCCCAGCCGTCTGCTCAGTGGGTCACCTCCCCGTGCTGGGACAGAGTTTGGCTTACGCCTGGGCACTCCCCCTGGGTGAGCAGCCCCAGAGAGCACCTGGTGTAGAGAAGACACACACGTCCTGCAGCCTGTATCCTTTAGACCTGCGACGCTTAGCTGTTAGAACACGGCGCTGGCCTCTGCTGGACTGTGGTGCCTGCTGTGGGGTGTGCGTAATTGGACCTCTGCCTTCCTCCATTTCCCAAGTAGCTTTGCAGCTACTTAGGTGCCTTACACAGAAGGTCCTGCATTGCTTTAAAAAAAGAAAAAATTGTGGTAAAATATACGTAACATAAAAGTTAACCGTTTTAACAATTTTTAGTCATACAGCGCAGTGGCGTTAATTACATTTAGATTATTGTGCAGCCATCACCACCGTCCATCTCCAGAATGCTTTGTTTTTTTTTTTGGCTTCTCGGCATGTGGGATCTTAGTTCCCCGACCAGGGATCAAACCTGTATCCCCTGCAGTGGAAGCACAGAGTCCTAACCACTGGACCACCATGGAAGTCCCAACCAGAATGTTTTCATCTTCCCAAATGGAAACTGTACGCATTAAACATTCACACCAGGGCCCCCTCCCTCCAGACCCTGGCAACCAACCACCATTTTACTTCCTGTCTCTCTGAATTCTGCCTACGGTATGCACCTCGTGTAACTAAAATCATACAGTATTTGTCCTTTTGTGTCTGGCTTATTCATCCATGGGGTAGCATGTGTCAGAACTGCCCTCTTTTTAAAGGCTGCCTGTGTTGCTTTTGAGTCTTGTGTAAACAGTACTGGCTTCCACCCTTTATATCAATTTACTTTGAAAATACACAAGGACTTCCCTAGTGGCGCAGTGGTTAAGAATCCGCGTGCCAATGCAGGGGACACAGGTTCGACCCCTGGTCCGGGAAGATCCCACATGCCGCGGAGCAATTAAGCCTGTGCGCCACAACTACCGAAGCCCGCGCGCCTAGAGCCAGTGCTCCGCAACAAGAGAAGCCACCGCAACGAGAAGCCCGCGCACCGCATGGAAGAGTAGCCCCTGCTCTCCGCAACTAGAGGAAGCCCGCGCCCAGCAACGAAGACCCAACGCAGCCAAAATTAAATAATTTATAAAAAAAGAAAGAAAATACTCAAATCTTGAGAGGCCAGGACCATCTGCACCCTCTGCTCCTCTTACCTCCAGTGGGCCTCCAGGTAGCGCTCACTTCACAGCCTTCTTCTAACTTAATAAGAAATCCTTCTGCAATTAGCCAAGTCAACATTTTATTTAAAAACACATAAACACGTACACAATGGTAACAACAGGAAGGGAGCCAAGATCTCCTATTTGGGGACAGGCTGACAGCATGGTGTTCCCGTAAGCCTCACTTTAAGAAAGAGGGTACCTTCAAGACCAGATTTCCAAGCGAGATAAATTAGGAGGTGGCTGTGTTTTCACAAGACGCCCCTTGGAGGTCTGGGGAGAGGGGAAGGGTTCGGCAGAGTATTCAAACACCACCCCTTCACCTTAACGGGGGGAGGGGGGCATCAGTCCCTGAGGCTGTTCTAAAGCAGGAGGGAGAGATCAGATTTCCCTGGAGGCTGCTTTTCTTTCCCGGAAGGGGAGGAATATTCTCTGAGGAAGTGAAGAAGGCTGGCGAGAGAGGCTGGACCCGCTCAGGAGCCGGAGGAAGGGCCCGTCCCGCACCCACCGGCCCAGGGACCCAAACCCCGGTCTCTCCTGCGGCCGCCGGCTCAAGCCCCTCCATCAGCGTGGGTCACACGTCCTGCAGCGCCTCCTACAGGGCTGGCGGGCTGTTAGGGCATCAGACGGCGGCATCTGGGGAAGGAAGCGGCAGAGTTGGGAGAGCTCGCCCCACGGCTGCGCATGCGCTGCCTCCCCCCCCACCCCCACCCCCGTCCGCACCACTTCCCGTGGGAACGATGATTCCTCTCCCTGCTCCTCTCCACCCCAGGCCTCTTCCTCAGAGGTACTGTAACTTCTTCAGCTGTTTGTTTTGGCTCTTCCTCCGTAATTTTACCTAGTAATATGTATACTTACAGATTACTTTTAGACATTACCTATTAACTTTTTCGCATTCTTTTTTCATCATTCAATTTTTCTTAAACAGCTTCACAGACATATAATTCATATACCATACAGTTCACCCATTTAAAGTGTTCAATTCCGCCGTTTGCCCTATATTCACAGAATTGTGCAGCTACCCCAATTTTAGAACATTCTCATCACTTCCAAAAGAAGCACCACAGGCATGCGCAGTCACCCCTGTATACCCTCCCGCCAGCCCTAAGCAACCACTACCCTACTCTCTGTCTCTGTGGATTTGTCTATTTTGGACATTTTTCCTAAATGGAATCCTACAATATGCGGTCTTTGGTGACTGGCTCCTTTCACCTAGCCTTCTGTTAGCTTTTTGCCAGTGGGACCATTAAGATTGAAGCGCTGCTGTTGGCAACCTCTCTGCTGGGCGAGGTAAGGTGCTTCGATATTTTAAATGTATTTTTAAAAAACAAAGAAAAAGAAGAAAGGAAGTGCTGGATCAAAGAAAGAAGTAAATTAACTGAAATAGCTGGTTTGATTTTCAGCAGTTCTATTTCTAGAAATTTATTCTAAAGATAAAATATATTAAGTGTGTGTATAGGCATATATTTACAAGGATATTCATTACAGCACTGTTTAGTAGGAAAGAATTTAAAAAAAAAATAAAAAAACAAGCATAATGCCCCCAAATAGGAGACAAGTAAACTACGGCACTGACATGCAATGGAGCCAGTGCAACACCGTGGAGCCACGAAGGATGCCAGAGAAGGACACCTAATGATGTGGGGAAAGTGCCTGACAGGAGGCTAGGTAGGAGCAGAAGAGAAGGTTACAAAATAATACATGAACTCTGATCCTTTAATAAATGCACAGGTGTTGGGACTTCCCTGGCGGTCCAGTGGTTAAGACTCCGTGCTTCCACTGCAGGGAGCATGGTTTCGCTCCCTGGTCGGGGAACTAAGATCCTGCCAGCCGCACGGGGCAGCCAAACAAACAAAACAAGCACATCTCTCCCTATATATATATACTCAGAGAGGAAATGCAGGAGGGAGAGACACCCAGCAGGTGCTATTTCTGGGTACTGTGATAATGGTTTTTATTTTTTTAAATTTCTTTTTCTTATTTCGATTTTCTAAATGTACTACATTTTATTTTTGTCATTAGGAAACTCATTTAAAGAAAACGCTTGTCCATCAGAGACGTAGACGTCAGGGTGCCCCTGGGCGCTGTGGAGACGAGACGGAGCAGAGGGTCCTCTGCAGCAGGGTGGTCCCCTACTGCCGACCTCCAGAGCCTGTGTCCTCCCGTGCCTGAGCAGAGGGAACCTTCTTGGTCATCTGTTTTCAGACCAGAACTCACCTGTTGACTGGGTCACGCACGAGATCTTGTAGGACAGCCACACACTCGCCAGGCAGAGGAAGGTGGCCAGGAAGCCGAAGATCTGCATGGGAGAAAGGGGGCAGCGGGCGCCCAGGCCAAGGGCAGTCACTCGGGCAGTCACCCTTCATCACCCTGCTCATCCCTGGGCCTGTTTCCTACACCAGCTGTGGCTGGGAGGGAGCTCAGGGACTCAAGTGACCCGGCCACCTGTCCTCGCTCAGGTGTGGAGGTGACGCCCGGGCCCTGGCCGGGCCCACAGCTGGGACACAGTCAGGCCTCTGGTCGCCACCCCTCGCCTCTTCTCTAGGCAGCTACCTGCCCACGCTCGGATTTATGTTTACAACCGAGCTGGGGCCAAGCCACCGGACTTTAATTATCCTGGGCTAATAAGACAGAAAAAGGAGGAACGGTACATTTTAATTTGGGTTTTTAACACATTAACGTTCAAATGGATTTTCTTGGGTGTGGTAGCATCATCTGCACTTCATCCAGAAAGGCTTTCTGTCTGGCTGGCTTTACAGCTGTGTTGGAGCCAGAAGCTGAGACCCCAATACCTAGTCTTAGGTTTGCATGTATTTAAGTAACATTAGGCTGAAATAAGTTCAGGCAGCGCTCCTTTCCTTTCTGTGCTCAGCTGTGAGCACCTAGCCCAGAGCAGCCGCCTCATTTGTCATAAGGAAAGGGCCTCACGGTGGCTCATTAAATGATGGAGCAAGAAGCAGACAGGGACTCAGGTGTCTCTGCCTGGAACTTGGAAGCCTGCAGCCTCTCCTGACTTGTCAACAACACTGGCAGCTGCAGCAGCTAACACTGACTGAGCACTTACTTCGTACCAGGCAGTGTTCTAAGCCCTTTAAAGGAACCCGCACAGCTCTGCCAGGTGGGCACGGCTGTTACCTCTCCCCCCCTCATTTTTCAGCTCAAGAAACCAGGGACAGGAGGTCAACTCTTCAGCCCAGGAATGTGGAGCCAGCAAGGGCCAGACCAGAGATCTGAGCCCAGAGTCCACCTCTGCTTGCCTGTTGCCCAGGTGTCCTCGGGCCCTCCAAGTGCACGGCTGGGAGCTCCCTGAGGTCCAGCCCAGGAGCAGCCAGACCAAGCGCGGGATCATCCAACCTAGCTGCTGGTTTCCACACATGGCTGCCCGTCACCCCACCCCCGACCCCGTCCACTGCCGTGCCTCCTTTTGTACCAATTGTCTGCACCACATAATCAGCCTGTTAGAGCCTGTCCTGGCCTCTCATTGTCTGTTCCGCACAATTAGCACATTATACACCATCCCAGTCTCCAACTGTCCACACTGCATAACTGAACAGTTTATTATCAGGCTACACAATGCTCCTCTGAATGACAGTGCCTTGTGTGCTCATTGTTTCATGTGCCCTGGCCTCCTAAGCTAGATCACCACTTTCTCATCAGCAGGGACCATGTCTTTTCATTTCTCCTGGCCCCTCGCCCAGCCCATGCTTGGTCCTAGGCACAGAGATCGTTTACGACAAATGGGGTTTACTGGGATTCCAGGGCTAACATTGTCATGTGCCACCTCAATGAGGAAACCCAGTGGGAATCTCCCCGCGTGGTCCTGAAACACAGCGGGCGCCAAGCTCTTCTGTCCCCCCCTCCGCCAGCCTGCCTGCAGCTGGGCAGGGGGCAACCATTCCTCTTCTTGGAAACTGCCTGGGGAGGGGGGGAAGGTGCTTAGGGGGCAAGAGTGCTCAGGGGTTTGGCTGCCCCTCCGCGGTGACCTTCTGCCCCATGCAGACTCCACCCCTCCGTGGAATTCCAGGCACTCACCCACTCTTGGCCCAAAGTCCAGAGAATTTTGGTACCGTGCGGAAGTGAGTGACTACCACACAGAGAGCTTTTCTTAAAACTCATTTGAAAAGTGAGGCAAATCAGTTCTGGCCTACAGACTTCCAAACTGTAAACAATTAGCTAAATCAGAAATCAGATGACAGCAATCTATAGATCTTTTTACAATAATGTATATACACATATGTGTATCTGTGTGATAAATATATATAGCTCCCATAGCACTATGTTTTGTCCATTTCCATGCTACTTCTATTCATGTTAGCAGATGGGTCAATTTTCACCTATGAAAGGTATAGGAGTGTTATTTCCTGGCCTGAATACTGTTAAAAGTCAGGAAGGGCAAAGCTAGGACTCACGGCAGATTATCACTAGCTGATCACAAAAATGTTCCCCTGGGCTGGAAAAAGGCCTCAGAACCTTTCCCTGAACGGGGCTGAGACAGCCATGAGCAAATGACCAGCGTGAACATGAGAATTAAAACCTACTTGCCCGTGATTTAAGGAGTGGCTGTAAGAGAAAGAGGCCTGGGCCGCTGGGGCCATTTGAGTTCGTAACAGCCCTGCCCATCCACCTTCTGACACCCTCCACCGTGGGCCCAAGTTTAAGGCTATTTGGAGACCACTGCTGGTGGATCAAGGTCCGGACTGATTCTGAGAAAGAAAGGCCCCAGAGAACAACCCCTTTGCTGCCCTGAGAGGAAGAAAATGAGCATTCGGAACAGGAATTCACTCCTGCCGCTTCCCGGAGAATGTCCTCACCGCTCCAGCCACCAGTCGGCTCTGGTTGTAACTCTTGGAAGCTGCCACGATGGACGCGATTAGGAGAAGCAGGGTACCGATTAAATAGTGCAGGAGTTCCTGGGGGCAAAAACAAAGCAGAGCAGTGGGTAGGGAGCTCCATTCCTGGTTCTCAGAGGCACCTGGGCGTTAGGAGAGATGAATGGAGGGGAGGGAGTGACACTTCCCCTTCTCCCTGTAACACCCTGACAGGAGCAGCGAAGCTCACTGGCAACGAGAAAGGAAGGCCAGCCAGGATGAGGCCACACAAGAGAGAAAAGACGCCAGGCAGGCAGGAAGAGAGGCGACAAAGAGAAAGGATGCTTCTCGGGTGAGGAGAGATGTCGCCTAAGGACCACTCCACTCCTGAGGTCAATCTGTCCATGGTACCTTGACCTCCGGCCAAAGCTACTAACAAGCAAATGAGCTGCTTCTAACTCCAAGGATGGAGAGTTTAAATGAAGCTCCAGCTCTGAGAAGCAAAGCCTCTTAAAAAGATGTGTGCCTTTCTTCTGCTTCAGAGAAAGTTCTGGGCTAGCAATGTGCTGGTTTTGGTGGCTGCCTGGAGGGTCTCCCCATTCCGTGAACAAAAGTCCTCCCAGTTTTGTCCTCATTCTGTCTTCCCTCTTCTTTTCTGTTGGAAGTGTGCCCTCAGGCCAGACTGCTGAGGGGTCTGCAGGAAGGGCTGACGCTGCCTTTGCTTCCCTTGGGTCCACAGGGGCATCCATTTCTGCCCCATTCACTCTCCATGATAAAATGGGGTCTTTGCAGGTCCTGGATGAGGCGAGGCCTCTATCATTCGACAACAAAGGAATGCTTCGCCTCATCCTTTCCCCTCCCCACGAACGCCAGATCAGAGGAGAACTGGGGCTTAGGGCCACTGACAGTGGGGTGCGCCCCCGAGAGAAATTTATAGCTGTCAAGGCTTATATTAAAAATGAAGAAAGGTTTCAAATTAATAACCTAACCTTTACCTTAAGACACTGGAAAAAAGGAAAGCAAACTAAACCTAAAGCAAGAAGAAAGAAGGAAATAAAGATTGGAGCAGAAATGAATGATACAGAGAACGGAAGAAAAATAGAGGAAATGAATGAAATCAATAGCTGGTTCGTTGAAAAGGTCAACAGAATAGAGAAACCTTTAGCTAGACTGATCAAGAAAAAAAAAGAAAACATTCAAATGACCAGAATCAGAAATGAAAGACAGACGGGAATCCCCTGGTGATCCAGTGGTTAGGACTCAGTGCTTTCACTGCTGGGGCCTGGGTTCAATCCCTGATCTCAAAACTAAGGTCCCACAAGCAAAGAGGTGTGGCCACAAATAAATAAATAAATAAATAAAAGCGGGGACATCACTACTGGTGTTAGAGATAAAAAGGATTTTAAAAGAATATTATGATCAATCATATGCCAATAAGTTAGATAACTTAGATGAAATGGAGATATTCCTAGAAAGACATGCTACTGAAAATGACTCAAGTAGGAATAATCTGAGTAAAATTTATAATAAGTAGAATTTGAATTAATAATAAAAACACTACCCACAAGAAAAGCTCAGGACCAGGTGGCTTCACTGCAGAATTCTACCAAACATTTAGAGAAGAATCAATTCCAACTCTTCCCAAACTCTTCTAAAGAACACAAGAGGAGGGAACACTTCCCAGATCATTCTATGAGGGCAATATTACCCTAGTAACAAAACCAAAGACATCACAGGAAAACTAAAGACCAATAATATATCTTATGAATACAAACGCAAAAATCCTAGCAAACCAAATCCAGCTACACATAAACTGAATTATACACCACAGCCAATCAGAATTTGTCCCGGGAATGCAAAGTTAGTTACACATGTGAATATCAATGTAATATGCCATATTAACAGAATTCTGGGGGGAAAACCTACATGACTATCTCAATAGACAAAGAAAAAGCATTTGACAGATTCTAACACCCTTTCATGATGGAAACAACAAAGTAGGACTAGAAGGTAAGTTTTTCTATTTGATAAACCTCCTACAAAACCCCCACCTAACATCATATTTAATGATAAAAGATGAGTGCTTTCCTCCTAAAATCAGGAACAAGATAATGATATCTGCTCTTGCCACTTTAATGCAACATTCAACTAATTTCTTGCAATGAGCCAAGAAAATGAAGCAAAAAGCATCTAGATTGGAAAGGAATGTAAAACTGTCTCCATTCACAGATGGTATGCTCTTATAGATAGATTTGAAAATCCTAAGGAATCCACTAACAATCTATTAGATCTAATAAATGATTTCAACAAGATTGAGGCTACAAGATCAATATACAGAAATCAATTGTATTTCTATCCACTTGCAATGAACATTCCAAAAATGAAATTAATAATTACAGTTGAAATAGTATAAAAAGGATAAGATACTTAGGAACACACTAAACAAAAATAGTATAAAACTCATACTCTGAAAACTACAAAACATTGTTGAAAGAATTTTTCTTTTTTTTTTTTTTTGCGGTACGCGGGCCTCTCACTGTTGCGGCCTCTCCCGTTGCGGAGCACAGGCTCCGGACGCGCAGGCTCAGCGGCCATGGCTCACGGGCCCAGCCGCTCCGCGGCATGTGGGATCTTCCCGGACCGGGGCACGAACTCGCTTCCCCTGCATCGGCAGGCGGACTCTCAACCACTGCGCCACCAGGGAAGCCCAAGAAATTTTAAAAGATCTAAACAAATGGGAAAACCTCCCATGTTCATGGATCATGACTTAATATTGTTAAAATGGTAATACTCTCCAAACTTATCTGCCGATTCAATGCAATTCGTATTAGAATCCCAGGTGACTTCTTTGTAGAAACTGAAAAGCTGATTCTAAAGTTCACATGGAATGGCAAAAATCCAAAACAATCCTGAAAAAAGAGGACAAATGGGAAGACTCACACTTCCTAATTTCAAAACTTACTGCAAATCCATAGTGATCAAGGTAGTATAATAAGATCAGTGCAACAGAGTTGAGAGTCCAGGAATAAATCCATGCGTTTATGGCCAACTAATTTTCAACAAGCTGCCAAGACCACTCAACGGGAGAAAGAACAGCCTTCCCAACAGATAACTGGGACAACAGGATATTCACATGCAAAAGAATGAAGCTGAATCCTTGCTTCATACTATACGCAAAAATTAACTCAAAATGGATCCAACACCTAAATGTAAGAGCTAAAAGTATGGAAGGCTTAAAAGAAAACACAGAGGTGAATCTTCATGATCTTGAATTGGCAATGGCTTTTTAGATATTATACCAAAACCATAAACAACAAAAGAAAAATATAAATTAGATTTCATCAAAATAAAAAACTTGTCCTTTAACAGATACTATCAAGAAAGTAAAGACAAAAAGAAAAGAAAAAGAAAAAATTATGGGAGAAAATATCTGATAAAGGACATTTAACTAGAATATACAAAGAACTCTTACAACTCAATAATAAAAAGACAACTTAATCAAAAAATTGGCAAAGGATCTGAAAAGACATTTCTCTAAAGAAAATATACAAATGGCCGAAAAGATGACTAACACCGTTAGTCATCAGAGAAATGCAAATCAAAACCACAAGCTGTAACTTCACACTCACTGGAATAAAATCTCAAAGTCAGAAATAACAAGTGTTGACAAGGATGTGGAAAAATTCGAACCTTTATACACCACTGCTAGGAATGTAATGTGGTACATCCACTTTGGAAAACAGTCTGGCAGTTCCTCAAACAATTAAACATAGTCACCATGTGACCCAGCAATTCTACTCTTAGGTATATTCCCAAGCAAAATGAAAATATGTCCACACACAAAATTTGTACACAAAATGTTCATAGCAACATGATTCATAATTGACAAAAGGTGGAAATTCATAATTGCCACATGTCCATCAATGATGAATGAATAAACAAAATGTGGTATATCCTTTCCATGGAATATTAGCTATAAAAAGAAATGAAGTACTGATATATGCTACAACATAGATCAACCATGATCTATGAAAGAAGCTCTAAATGAAAGAAGCTAGTCTACTACTAAATGAAAGAAGCTAGTCACAGAAGACCAAATATATGAGTCCATTTATATGATATGTCCAGAACAGGAAAAGTTACAGAGGCAGGAAGCCAATTAGTAGTTGCTCAGGGCTGGAGGTGATGAGGGGTAGGAGGCAACAGCTAAAGGGTACAGAGTTTCTTTTTGAGGTGATGAAAACATTCTAAAAATAACTGAGGTAATGGTTACACAAGTCTGGGAATACACTAAAATTCATTGAATTGTACACTTCAATGGGTAATTGTATGACATGTGAACTATATATCAATAAAGCTGTTTTTAAAAAGAACATAGTGGGAAGAAAAAACCCTAGCAACTTCTGACATGTTTCCTCAGACTCTGCCAGTCCACTTTAGCTGACAAATCTTATCGATACTCACACAGTGTAAATACCCATTACCCCTATCAGCTTCTTCCTTCTATGTTCCTCCTCCAAGTCACACACACACACAGCCCATTTTCTGTCACTTGAGAAAACAAGCACTGAGGTGAGAGGCACAGCCTTCTTGTAGCTGGAAGGTGAGTTTTAGAAACCAGTGGGACATGAGGCATAGACGTGCACCCAACAGTGGGAAATTCAGAGCTGAAGCAGCCAAGGATGGTGCAGGAGGCGGGGTAGGCAGACAGGAAGGACTCCGTCAGGTCTCAGTGCCCAGCCTGCATCCTGACTCGTGCAAGCCGAGAGCAGGCCCGGCCACTCCCTTACCGACAGGGGCCAGCTGATACAGGTGAGCACGCGGTACAGGCGGAAGAGGTGGACCAGGTAGAAGGCGAGAATCATGATCAAGTTGCAAATGGTGACCACTTCAAAGTAGCTGTAGGCACTGTAGCTGGTCCACAGAGAGCTCCTCACGCAGATGAAGGCAATCAGCAGCGAGACCTGGGACGTGAACACAGAGACATCAGAGAAATGCCCACCCAAGATGGGCACCCAGGGAACGAACAACACAACAGAAACACAGGGGACCGAGGAGCTGCCACAATCCAGGTTACCCCATCACAAACTGGCTGGAACAGTGCAATTTCCCACAGTACAAGCTTTTGAAACACAAGCCATTGTGAACGCTGAGGACGGCAGGGAGTGGTCTGTTCTCTCTGTTCTCTGAGGTCCATGTGCCGGCAGGATGCATGCTCAGGGAGAGGGCAGGAATTCTGGAAATAACCAGGCAGGACCACCTCCCTTATTTGCTGGACCTCCACTGAGTCAGCGTGATATTGAACCCCAGGTTTCCATGTTAGGTTGAACTGAAGGAAGTTGCCAATATTTGACTGTTTTTGACCCACCAAGATGTCAGTTCATACGTATAACCTACCAGCTGGCAGACAGTAAGTTACTGTCAATGAAAAATCAAATAACCAGCAAGCTAAGAAGAAAGAAAAGAGAATTGTATTCGCGCCAAACTGAGTACTATAACCTGGGAAACAAATTATCAGAAGCTCTGAGAACTGCTCCATTGATCAGGCGTTAGAAATGCAGTTTTATATATATTTTTAATAAATTTATTTATTTCTTTTTGGCTGCATTGGGTCTTCATTGCTGCCCATGGGCTTTCTCTAGTTGTGGCGAGCAGGGGCTACTCTTCGTTGCAGTGCGTGGGCTTCTCACTGCAGTGGCTTCTCTTGTCGCGGAGCATGGGCTCTAGGCGTGCAGGCTCAGTAGTTGTGGCGCACGGGCTTAGTTGCTCCACAGCATGTGGGATCTTCCCGGACCAGGGCTCGAACCTGTGTCCCCTGCATTGGCAGGCGGATTCTTAACCACTGTGCCACCAGGAAAGTCCCAGTTTTATATATTTTTGAGACAAAGAAATTATGTATCATATTGACAGGTTAGCATTGTGTACACAGTTCCTCAAGTGTTTGGTTTTTTTTCAATTATGCACGTAGAGACAAACTTTTTAGTCAATGCAACCCTTTATAGAAGATGAAAAAGAAATATATTAATCATAGAATTACAATGCTGGCAATGTGAAGAAAGGGGCCAGCTTTTTCTCAAAGGTTGATCTCATCCTCCTGCTTTGAGGAGGTCTGGTTAATGTGTAATGCAGATGCACACTGCCCATGGGGTAAGGCCTACCACAGAGGGGGCATGTCATTTGTTGTTGCTGTTTTTGTTTGTTTTTTTCTGTTTGTTTGTCCTGCCATAGAAAAGTTACGATTTTCCTCGTCGTTACCACTTACGGATGCTTGATGTACATGATCTCCTTGAGACTCCCCACAACTCTGCCAGGTCAACAAGATCACCCCCACGCTCATAAGGGGAAATGGAGGCACACAAGCCTCCATAATCAGCTTAAGGCTACGTCCACGGTAAGCTGCGGAGGCACGATTTGAACCTTAGTCTGTCTGATTCCAGGGATCGTGTTCCTCCATGTCAGATGCGCCATCAAATGTGTGGGAATCCTGGCTACAAGGTGGTGCTTGCTCCCCCCTGGGCCTGCGGTGAGAGCTTGCTCAGTATACTGTTACATGAATGAATGAGTGTGCAGAATTAATAAACTAATCACCTAGTAATGAATGAGCGATCAGGTCAATTATTAGCAACATAAGAATACCATGGAAGGGCAGACTGGAAGAGGGGAGAGAAGATTCTGAGTTTCTGGGAAGGCCACTCACAGAGAACAAAATCTTGTTCACCCCACACAGGGGATAAACCAATAACACACAGGTGTTAAACGTATGTAAAGTCTCAGGGTCTATTTTAAAAGCACAACTAATTTAGGACAAAGGTTAAATATTTCACACTGCCTCTTTCCTACAGAACAGTGATTCTCCAAGGGTGTGTGTGTGTGTGATTTCGTGTCCTATGGGACATTTGGCAATGTCTGGAGACACTCCTGGTTGTCACCGTTGCAGGGGGGATGCTACCCACCCTCCACAATGCACAAGACAGGCCCCGTAATACAGAACTATCTGGCCTCAAGTGTAGCCTTCAAACTACTGTCCTACTGTGGAGAAACCCCGCTGTAGAAAATTGAGTCTACAATGAGAATTAGATCACGAAATGGATCTAACGCTGGTTAAAGAGGCTAATGCTGAAACCTCTATTTTCCAAAGCCCCTCATTGCTAGCATTCTACCAAGGTCCTCGGGTACAGGGACACCAGCTAGCAAAGAACACTCAGCTTACGCCTAAAGTGGGCGTGAGGAGTGTTCTGCTTAACAGATCAAAGCAGAAGACTGTGGCCCTGACACACAGGGACCCTCAACATTTGCGTATTTCCCTTTGCTAATGAGCAGCATGAGGATTTTCATTTTTTCAGTTCCTCTCCAGCCAGCCGGCCACAGTGATACAATGATTCACACCTTGAGGTTGTTTTAAAGCCTCAAAGGGAGGCTTTGCTTCACTCAGGAGTGAGCATGACGGTCAGAGCTCTGCTGCCCTATAAGCCCCCATTTCCAGGCCTCGTCTCTCTGGGGAGTCTGGGGGGTCTCCCCAGCCTTTCACTGACCCTCTCACACACACTGGGGCATTTTAATTCAAGGCCTGCCTTAAAATGCAAATAACCCAGGATTATGCAGTGGATTTCTAGGTGGAGAAGCTGTTTTGCACCTAATTCAAAGACTAGAATAATTTTTATAAGTCTTCATCTGTGACAAAGTCTGCAGACACGTGGGTGAGAGTTTCCCCAACCAACGAAAGGGGCCCGGGCAGGTCTTCCCCTCTGAGCCCCGGGGCTGAGCACCGTGCAGCAGGAAGTACATTATTGCTCTACCCCAAACTGTCTCAGACCTCTCTGGGAAATCTGACTGTGAAATAAGACTTCCTGAATTCTGACCCCTGGGTCTCAGGCCGCCTACCACGTGCTCTTCTCCAGCAGAGCCCAATTTTGGACAATCTCGTTTAGACAGCGGATGGTGTGTACTTGGGCACATTACCAAAAGTGTCCTTTTTGCTGAAGCAGTCATTTATTACTACGTTAGCTAGCCAGCATCTTAGCTAGTGCACTTAAGAAAAAAGAGAGACTTGACTGACTCTAAACTTTCCAAGAACTCCTCCAGGGCCAGTGGGTAACCTCTGCAAGTGCCCTGAATCCTCTAGATCAATACTCAGGGGGCAGCCAGGAAGGTGAAGCAGAAGAAAGAACAGACAATGGAGAGAAAAGGCCTGGGATGTGGGCGACTGCCCCGCCCCCTGCAACCAGCCCTCTCATGACCTCTTCTTCCCCCACCCTTTTTAAAAATTTGAAGTAGAGTTGATTTACAATATTGTGTTAGTTTCAGGTGTACAGCAAAATAATTCAGTTATATGTGTGTGTGTGTGTGTGTATATGTGTGTATACATATCTATATATCAGTTATACATATATGTTCTTTTTCAGATTCTTTTTCTATTATTCACTATTACAAGACATTGAATATAGTTCCCTGTGCTGTACAGTAGGACACTGTTGCTTATCTATTAGGACCTTTTCTTGTTCTCAGTGAGAAAAGCCTGAATTCAGAGAAACTGAAGTGAAGAAGGCTGGGAGGCTTTTGGAAGACACATACGGTTCTGTTTATTCATTTATTTTTTCTTAAAAATTTATTATTAGTTTTTGGCTGTGCTGGGTCTTCGTTGAGGTACTCAGGATCCTCGTTGCAGCATGTGGGATCTTTTAGTTGCGGCATGCAGATTTCTTAGTTGCAGCATGCATGCGGGATCGAAGCCGAGCCCCCTGCATTTGGGAGCATGGAGTCTTACCCACTGGACCACCAAGGAAGTTCTGGCTCTGTTTAGAGTAACGTCAATGTGATACCACCTAAAAGGACTCAATTGTTTCTCTGGGTGCTTCCTAGCTCCTCTCATAAAGGTCTGTTCTTTATTTATTTATTATTATTATTATCATTTTTGGCCTCACTGCGCGGCCTGTAGGAGCTCAGTGCCCCGACCAGGGATCAAACCCATGCCCCCTGCAGTGGAAGTGAGGAGTCTTAACCACTGGACCATCAGGGAAGCCCCAGGTCTGTTCTTTTATAATGAACTGTCATGAAAGTTGAAGACAAGGTATCTAACATAAATGTCCAGGGGTTTAAAAGTCATGTTGCAAGAACCCTCAACTCAAAGCCGGGTCTCAGACGCCCCGTGGTGCTGTCTACAGACACTGGCTTTCCCTCAGACTAGAAACCACTTCCTCTCCCTCAAACTGTGTCCTTTCTGACTCCATGCTGTCAGAATTCTTACCAGAAAGAAGAGATAATTTTTGTGAAAGGAAGAGATAATTATTGTGAAAGCAGCAGTGTGTTTCAATTTCACAGGAGACGAAGCACACTGAACGTTACCTGAAAGAGACGATCGACCCCTGAGAATTTTAGAACTAAAACAGGCTGGTCCCTAAGTCCACGGCCAGGTGCCAGGCAGCAGGCCCAGGCCTGGGTGGGTCTCCCTCAAGGAGGAAATGGAATTTTGAAGTCTAAGATGGACAAGTTCTGGAGAAGCCTCCAGAGGCAGTGCTCAGGAGATGACCTCTGGTGGTCTCAGCGTCCCGGCTGCCTGTGCCCAGGGACATTCCCTCGGCAGGCCTGTCCCCCGATGCCCTGCCACGTCTGGGGCACTGAGTGTGCCTGTGTCTGGCTGCAGATGGCACCAGACACCTTTGTTTGAGAGCCCGGGGCTGGATGCCAGCAGGTCACCCACCCCACCCTCTCGCAGCATTTTTATTCTGACCTTGGGATAATGTCTCAGTGAGAGAGACAGGCAGGAGGAGAGAAAGTAACTGATAAAAGGCAACATCAAAAGGCCTCAGACCAACTCTAAGAGGCTTTTCTGGAAAAGCCCAGGAGATGAAAGCCAAGCTTGTTCAAAAAGTCAGAGATGTGGACGATGATGCAGGGCTGGGAAACTGCATTTGTAGATTCAAGCAGGCCCCTAGTGACTCTGCTTGGCAGCAGACTCTGCAGTGTT